ACAGTAACATTTGTAGAATGTTCATTGATTAAATTTTGTAAATCATTTGAATCTAAAATTACGGGGATTATTATTCCAATTTTCGCAAGTGTAACTCACAACATTAAGGCTTCGAGTTCGGAACTAATTATTCTGTTTCTTGATAGCAATTTTTCATACAAATTTTCTGTATTTATCTGTTCTACTTTTGCCTTTTTTACTAAAATGTTTACTGTGTTTGTTAGGATATTTATTTGTTCTTGGGTCTTAGTGTAAATGTTTATCTGCATAATTTTCTGATTCTATGAGTTCTTTCTGCGTGAATTTAATTTCCTCGAAGTCATCGAAATCTGGAGTACCGGCTACGATTTTTAATGCGGTGCCTAATAAGTTGATGCTTCTAGCGTGTCTATGGTGAACATTTAATTACCTCAAATTGTCCCTATGTACCACCCTCCCTTTTATTAAGACTGTGGTCCCCAAGTCTGCTTCTATGGTTTCCTCGGTGTACAAATTGGAAAGTTTGTTTCCCAACCTCTTATTTGATTTTACGAGAACTTTGTCTCATATGATACTTGAATATTTCTGTCTTGTCTAGTTTTATTTAATCTTTGTAGTTGGATGTTCTGTGCATTTGAGACTTTATCTCTAATTTCTGCGTTAAGCTTTAGGTTGATGAATGAATTATGTCGATGGGTCGTTAATTTGTTACAGAGTGTAATGTTGTATTGTATTCTAAAGCCGCGAGGAGTAGTAATTCAACCGTTTCCTTAATACCTTTTTTGATTTTTAAATACAGTGCTATTTCTGTTAGTGAACTGTGGAATCTTTCCACTTGTCCATTCGATGTATTGTGAACAGGCGGTGCATTAACGATTTGCACGTTAAACCGGTTGCTTAAAAGAGACCTAGTTGTTTCGGATTTTATAGTGGGCTCATTTTCGCAATATATTGTTTTCGGTCGCCGGTAGAAATTAATAAGTTGTAAAATCGCGGTTTGCACGTCTGCAATGGTTCTGAAAGCGATTGGTTGGACAATTGAAAATTTTGAAAATTTGTCTACGCAAGTTAAAAAGTATTTTTTGTCTGTTGAAAATATGTCAATGTGTAGGATTTTGCCTGCGTACGAGGTAGTAGGTGTTTCTCCGAGAATCTGTTTCTGAGGGTGTCTATCGTATTTTGCCTTCTGGCATATTTTACAATTTGCGACCACCTCATTAGCCATATGAGTCATTTTGGGAAAAAAATAGTCTTGCAAAATCTGTTTCACGTTTTCTTGAGCGGCCCTATGAGCCCTGTTATGTTCTGACACCGTAATTTCTTTTTTCTCATTTTTGTCTTGGATGTCAGTCACCAAACGGTTCGTGTTGGATAAATGCCAGTACTGCTAGTTCGCATAACATTGTATTGACTACGTATTTTTTGAGCACATCGTATACTTGTTTCTCTATCCGAGAAATATAAAAGATGTCGAGTTTTTTTCACGAAACATATTGACCGTTCTAACTGAAGCAGTTCTGCTTTCTTCTATGATTACCTGGTTCCGAAAGCAGTTGACCGGTTTGTCTGTTTTTTCAATAGTGTAGGTAAGTGATAACTCGCTATGTATTGTGGCAATATCTGACTGGGCATCCTCCTCTAGCGCGTGGATGTGCTGTCGGGACAGTGCGTCAGCGACGTAGTTCTCTTTTCCTTGCTTATAAAAAATTTGGGCGTTGTGCTCGTCAATGAAAGCTTTCCAGCGCTTAATTTTTTCTTTTGGATTGCGATCTGAGACGGCGATAGTAAGTGGCTGATGGTCAGTAAAAATGTTTAAATTTATCACGCCGTATAGATAATTCCTGACGCTTTTTAAGGCCAATACTATTGCTAATAACTACCTTTCGCTAGTTGCAAAATTAAGTTCCTTGTCCTTTAAAGTTCGTGATATCATGGTTATGGGTTTTCCGTTCTGTGACAAGACTGCTCCCAAACCAAAAGATGATGCATCTGTCGTCAAGTCGAACGCTTTTTTGTAATTTGGATATAATAGCATTACGTTTTCAGACGCGAGAACACTCTTAAGATTTTCAAATGCCTAACAGGTATTTTCTTTGATTGTCCTGCACTAACCTTGCCATTTCCTCCTTTCAGGATGTCACTTATAGGTTTTGCAATATATGCAAAGTCTTTAATAAAACACCTATAGTAACTAGCTAGTCCGAGAAATGACCTGACATTAAATAGTGTGGTCGGTTGTTCGTAGTTACGGATTGCGTCTACTTTGTTATCGCATGTTCTTATGCCTCCGCGTGAAACCACGAAACCTAAGTACTCTACATTTTCTACTCTCATGTTGGCCTCATATAATTTGTCTAAGACCCATGCTATGTGTTTCACATGCTCGTGCATATTTTCTGAAAAAATAATTACGTCGTCGACGTAGACATAGCATGATTTCCCTATTTGTTCCCTGAGCACATCGTGAATGGCTTTCTGAAATATGCTGGGTGCATTCTTCAATCCAAAGGGTAGTCTACAGAACTCATATTTCCCATTTCCTACAGAAAAAGCCGTTTTTTCTCTGTCGTTTTCGGCTAGTAGTATCTGGTGAAAATCAGACTTTAAATCTAATGTGGTAAAGTACTTTGCCTTTCCTAAATTTGCCAAGAAAAAACTACGTTCGGGATAGGGTATTTGTCATCTATTGTCTTCAAATTAAGCTTTCTGAAGTCTATTACTAGGCGTTTTTTTGTGTTTCCCTGTTCATCGGTCCCTTTTTTTATCTACAACCCAAACAAGGTTGTTATATGGATACCGAGATGGTCGGATTATGCCGTCTCGTAATAACGCTTGTGTTTCTGTATTTACAAAGTCGGACACGCCCATTGGGTATGGGTACAATTTTGAATATATCGGATCTTCATTTTCTGTCCGGATAGTACCAATAATGTTAGTATTGTACGGCAGCGCTTCGTTTGGCTCTGCAAATGCACCCGTACGGTTTCCTGACATTTCCTGAAATTTTTCCAACATTTCCTGTGGTACCACTATATCCTCAACTTTTGTAAAATTAACATCTGCACATTTCAAAAATTTAATTTCCTCCGAACTGCTATTAGTTATTAACTTTTTTTCTCTTAGCTCAAGTACGACGTCAGTTTTTTTTAGTAGGTCCAGTCCAATTATTCCATCAAACGTTGTTAAGTTTGGTAAGTTTGGTTTATATTAAAAAGGTGTATTATACATTTTTTGTTTATTGTGTTGCGACCATGAATTGATTTTATAGAGAATGGTTTATCTACGAAAATAACGTTTTTTAATTCTTTGGGTTAAACTTAGCGTCTGTCGTTTCATTTCTTTGTTCAGCCCTTTGGTGTTATTCTTCCGTGGTACGTGCAAAACTACTTGCGAACATGTATCGCTCATGCTAAGCGTCTACTTCTTGGGCTAATGCTAAAGTGGAAGGAAGATCGGTTGGTCTTGCCGAAAAAACAACGTAGCTAAGCGATTTTCTTATGCCCGAGATAAATACTTGTAGCGCATCTGCTCTGTATTTTTCGTTCAGTGTGTTTTAGCTTCCGTGTTGTCGTAGGTCATAATTGTTTTGTTTATTAGCAGAGTCAGTTTTTTCTCTACTTCGTCATAGTACTGCAGAAGTGTCATGTTTCCTTGACGGAGTATTGACATCTCCTGTTCTATTAAATATATCGGTCGTTTGTCCGCGTATGTAAAGTCAAGCCTGTTAATAATAGCCTTAAAATTTAAAGGCGTGTCGAACGACGAAAGAACCATATCGGCTGAGCCTTTTATTTTGTTTCGGAGAATGCCTAAGGCTTGGTAGTGCTTGGAACTACCATCATATTTTTCAAATACTTTATAGGCGATATGCGCCGCATCCTTATACGTTTCTGCTTCTGGTGTGCCGATATTTACACCGCCTAATCGCTTCTGAAAATCTTGTAATTTTTTCTCAAAGCCTTTTTCTTGCGCGCCATTATAGATGGCGCAGCCTTTTCTTGCGCAACTGCGCCATCTATAATGGATTTTAATTGTTCACTGGTCAATGCCATGCTTGAACTATTTTGTTGTGAACTTTCCGCGGTATTTAGTTTTTGAAATCTGTCTAATAATTCTTCTATCTCTCTAACGCTCATATGATTTTAACACAAAGAACAAAGAATTTAGTTCCTTTCGCATTTAATTTATTCTAAAAAAGGTTTCCGAACTTGTTTTACTTTTGACTGAGACTCTTAGAAAATCACTTATTTAATATTTTTAAAATATTTTGCAATTTTAAAATAGTGGGAATATCAATGAACACTCTACTTACATGGTTTTTATTTGATTATAAAACTAAATGTTGTTGCCGCTGTCGGTGTCTTCCTTCTTTTAATTCAGTTTCGCTCTTGTAGTCGTTTCTGGTTGTTTTTATTTGGTTGATTTGTTGTTTTTTTTTTTTTGTTTTAGGTTTTTATTTTAACGTTGAATCGAGTGTCTTACGGTCGCGTTTTTTTTATTTTACACGTGTCGAGGGTCTTACGACGCGTTTTTTTATTTAACACGGGTCGAGTGTCTTACGACGCGTTGGGTGCCAACTAATTATAAGTCCTGTTTGAGGATTTATTTTAAGACGCACTGTACTGCGCGAATGAGAAGACTTGGTAATAGCGAGGTTTGACCGTCACGGATTATTTCCAAAATTCAACTAACTGCTAGGTACAATAATTGTTATAACGAAAGCTAGCCCTATGCCCTAGAAGTGCTGACCCGACTGCCCATGCATGGTCTGGGTAGCCGCCGTTGCATCAGAGTGCATTGCGCTGACCGAAGCTTGGGATTTTGGCGACGTCGTTGTGCAACATCCGTAGGTGAAGCTGGTCTTGCATTATTTTAGTCGGTTATGCATGATTAACTTGGGAACTTCCGTGTTGCTGAGAAACCGTGTTAACTTATACTGTACCATAAGAAACTATTTTACTAATTATTAACAAAAAACGATTTTAAAATTTTATTAATCTTATACAAACTCCAAATTTCAGGTATTGGATTTTTCGTTCATGGGGCCGAATTGGAACTAGTATTGGAAGCTCTAAGGTTGAGGAGTTTAACACAAGTGATTCTGCTAAAAAAAAGTTTAAAGATATATATGCTGACAAAACTGGAAATGAATTCGAACAACGAGACCAATTTGTTAAAATTACCGGTCGTATGTACCCAATAGAAATGCAGTATGATGATGACCCAAAGTGGTTAACTCATAGCGGTCGGTCTGTTGAGTCTAAGTTAGAAATTTCATTGCAAAATTTAATAAGGCTCATGTTTGATGTAGAATCTATGAATAGAACTTTGACAGAGTTTCAAATTGACATGAATAAAATGCCTTTGGGTAAGCTTAGTGTAAATCAGATTCAATCCGCTTATAGTGTTATAACAGAAATTTTTAAATTAATAGAATCCGGAACAAGTAATGCAAATTTAATTGATGCTACTAATAGGTTTTATACATTGATTCCTCATAACTTTGGAGTTAAATCTCCAACATTAATTGAAACACATAAACAAATCGAAGACTTGCGACAAATGCTTGATTCATTAACTGAGATCGAGGTTGCCTACAGGCTAATCAAAACCGAAGACGCAACTGATAATATTAATCCTTTGGATAAACATTACATGCAATTAAAAACGGAATTAGTTCCACTAGATAAAAGTAGTGAAGAATTTTCAATTCTAAACAAGTATGTAAAAAACACTCATGCTTCTACCCATAGCAGCTATGATCTTGACGTTGTAGATGTGTTCAAAGTTGCTCGCCAAGGGGAAGCAAGGCGTTATAAACCATTTAAGAAGCTACATAATAGAAAATTGTTGTGGCACGGATCTCGGCTTACCAATTTTATTGGTATATTATCGCATGGATTGAAAATTGCTCCTCCAGAAGCACCTTCAGCTGGCTATATGTTTGGCAAAGGCATTTATTTTGCAGATATGGTGTCGAAATCAGCAAATTATTGTTGCACAAGTCAACAAAACTCAACTGGGTTAATGCTTCTGTCCGAAGTTGCTTTGGGGGACATGATGGAATGCACTGCAGCAAAATATATTACAAAACTACCAAAGGACAAACACAGTTGCTTTGGTCATGGTCGCACAATGCCAGACCCGAAGATGAGCTATGTAAGAAATGATGGAGTCGAAATACCGTTGGGGAAAGCAGTCACCACTGAGAAATTTCAATCATCGTTATTATACAATGAGTACATAGTGTATGATATTGCTCAAGTTAACTTGCAATATTTGTTTAGAATGGAATTTAAGTATAAGTACTAAAATAGTTTAAACTATATCTTCTTTCGAAACAAAAAATGTATCTACTTTTTATATTTACAAATTTATTGGCGCTGGTTTGTGCTTACATGAATTAAAGTATTTAAAAATTCAATCAAAATAATTGTTTGTTTTGTCATTTAATTTGCACAATTGGTTGTTTTTTCAAACTGATGCCTTCCGGTCGGTTTTGAATTGTTAATTTTCAGGCTTAATAGGAATTGAGTTGTAAAAAATTGGGAATATCGATGTTGTATATTTTAAATAACGCAAATTCTGGGGGTAGGTGCGCCAAAAAACAAACATTTTGATCATTTAGCGTCCATTTAGCGTCGCTTGTGATCGGTTGCGTTTACAAAGAGTACAAACGGACTGATTCTTCGAAATATGTGGTTGCTCGATTGGATTTTAATGTTCTTAACAGTCAATGCTGTTCTATGTATTTGAACCGGTGAAAAACCAAATTTCAAATAATCCAAAGCAATTTAATAACTTTAATAAATGTTTTTTTCCCCGGTAATAACATAAAGATATCATCTAATGGAATTAAAAACCACAAAACCACAACAGAAGGGCTTCCAGGGTGCGTGCTTAAGTTTTGTGCCTTAACTTTTTATAAACCGATTCTTAAACTGTTTCAATTGTCTACCTCAAGATCAGTTTTTGAAACTTTCTGAAAAGATTATTTTATTATTCCGCTCCATAAAAAGGGAGGATCAGATGTACAAAATAATAGAGGTATTTCTAAATTGTCTGCAATACCTAAGGCATTTGAGCGCATCATTACTTCTCATTTGTAACATAATATCTCATTATCAACATGGTTTTGTTAAGCGAATGTCTACTACCACGATCATACTTGAATTCACATCTATTATAGCTAAAGAATTTAATAATACTATACAGACTGATGTTATATTTACAGATAAACAGCTTTTGATTCTGTTAACCATTCTCTTCTTTTATTTAAATTAGATCAGCTCGGGTTTTCGAATAATCGTTCAACTTAGATTTCAAGTTATTTGAATGTAAGAACTCAGATGGTTATTTTTAAAAACGCAGTTCCAATATGATTAACGTAACATCTGGAGTGCCTCAGGGTAGACATTTGGACCCATTGCTATTTACTTTATTAATGGGGTTAGGATACTACATTGTTGGCCTCATTCATTGCTCATTTTTTGTTTTAACTATTACGTAAGTGCGAGGAAGACAACCTATGTCGATTCCAATGAGCAATGAATGAAGAAAATTGTCAGAACCGATACCCGATAGTAAAAAATATGAACCGGACTTTGGTAAAAAAAATGCCATTCGATGAAATACCACCGGGGTCGATTGGAGTTGATGACATAACGGAATGAAAAAGCGAGGCTTAAATATATACGAAATATTTTTGACCAGTTAAAGGAAACAACAATTGTCAAGCAGTATCCATATAGTTGTCTCTAAATCCAAGGACCAAGTAATCCGTCAATGAATGAAGCGAAAAATGTAATGTCATACCCATACCATCAATGATCTTCCTTTTGTCTTAACAAATTAACGAGTATTAATGTATGCTGATAATGTTAAACTTTATTTGTCCTATAATAATTTGCAATCTGGTTTCGTTTTACAGTCTGATATTGATTTTTTTTAGGTGTCAACCTATTAAATTTGAATTGCCTTATATGTAACGTAATGCCCTTTAATAGGGGGATGAGGCTATTAGTGTTCTTGGATTTAATAAGCGATGGTCAAAAGAATTTGACGATCCTTATACAACAAAATTATTATTTACTTTCCTTGTCCGTCCTAATTGAAGTACAAATTAATAGAGTAATGAGGTCAAGCGAATAAGCGAATTGCCGTCGGTAATTGTCTTTGCCCTATTTGGGCAATCACACCCCTTAGTTAGGCGGTCGATCTCCTGGCTTGGGCGACATACCAATAAGTGAGTGCAATTAGCACTTTCTGGACATTGATATCCTCCCCGTATTTCTTAATATGCTCCAGGTTACGCTCACTCAAGCGGTGAAGGTATGGAAGGCTAAGTATGTCGTGTTCCAAGGTGATGTTCAGGGAGTTCGAGCTAACTACTCCTGGTGCCCTCTTCTGGGCGGTGTCGTGATTGACGTTCCGGGTCTCGTTAACTCTTAATGAAGGTGATGAGCTGAGTTCCTCGAAAGTGGTCGTAAGTGCCATTGTCCACACTCACACGAGCCGGGCGATCGTTTATGATGATGAGTCCATCATCCACGTAGGTGACGGAGATGGAGATCGCTGTTTTGAATATCGCAGTGCACAATTCCTCCAGCGTGGAGTTCCAGAGCGCATGATTTTCTCAGCGCCAGTTGGCAAAATGTGTCTTCAGGTGACACAGAGTAGTTTTTGACTGTGTGCATCTCTCTGTTGCAATCCGCTGAGTATTGTGTCGTGGTGTGACACGGGAAAAACTGTGATTTTGACGCATGCTGACTTGATTTTAGGAATTCTAATGATGAAATGGAAAATGTTAACGGATTGTAATATTTTAACGGACGCAAGGGTATCTGTGGGCTCCTCGATCCACACACTTTTAGGGCTGCATGATCTAGAATGCTAAAGCTAACGATAATGATTTTAGCAAAAGCTATTGCTAGCGATAAATTTTGTAGCTCCATTGCAATCATCCTATTCCGAGACAATAAGATCTCGTATAGGTGTCCCAAGTCAAGATGGGATTATTTAGCCGACCTCAGAATTTGATTGACAGTGGCGGAGATACTATTGATTTGTTCTTGTACTTTGTTGTTTATATTTATCTGTCTATTGTTTCAAGGTCCTCCGCGTCTGGCGTTCCCGCCACTATTTTTAACGCCGCTAGCCTATGGTGGATGATCTATGATTCGAGCAGGACACGCAGGTGAGCGAAATCTACGCTAAAGAGCTTCTGCATGTGTGACTGGGGAAACATGTTAATCGTGCCACCAGTCTCTTCTACCACGCGGCTATACTCTAAGAGATTCGCTGAGTGTCTCACAATTGCGAATTCTTCCCATACTAAAATCAATGATGGGAATGTGCTTGACCTGCGAGTAGTCTGTGATGTGTGCCGATGTTAGGGTCAAAGAGAATAGCAGAGAAATGGATGTGAACCTGTTATACCAGAAATCCCGAAGGTGAGAAAAAGGGAGCTTGGGGAAGGTGGTCACACAACGATCGAGTTTCTGGTCTCTTCTGTCGCCGCGAATGCGCGACGTCACGCGAAAAAAAAACAAACAATTGGATTGATCAGTGCTCCAAGGTTAATGTATATAATATTCCTCTTCGTCGAAAGAAGACGGTTTAGCGGACTCGTAGGAGGATATTAATTGAAATGAGTGAAAGTGGAATCTCTCGTTTGTGATTTTATACGTAGTTGATCGGTAGTTTTCCTTCTCGTAGTGCATACGAACCGAACGTGGGCACCCATCCCGATTGGTCTACTACCCTAGCATTCCTCCCCGTAGTATTTGCGACCCGCACGTTGACACCCGTTCCGCTTGGTCTACTACCCTAGCATTCCCCCTCGTAGTATTTGCGATCCGCACGTGGACACCCATCCCGTCTGGTCTAATACCCTAACTTCCCTCCTCGTAGTGTTTGCGACCCGCACGTGGACACCCATCCCGTCTGGGCTAATACCCTAGCTTTCCCCCTCGTAGTGTATGCGCCCTGTATATGGACACCCGACTGGTATTCTACCCTAGCTAGATGTGCGTGGACATCATTCCCGACCGGTCGATCGCCTCCGACACGCGGAAAACGGCTTGTGTGTCATAGAAGTGATGACATCACCCACCGTTCCCACTCTCGCGAAATAGTTTTCCACGGCTTGGCCTCGCCCGAAGGTCCAGCCCGGTGGATTTTTGGCCTCCGACACGCGGAAAATGGCTTGTGCGCCCCAATCACATAAGTGATCAGTGACATCACCCTCGCCCGAAGGTCCAGCCCGGTGAATTTTACGCCTCTAACACGAGACTTGCACGCTCGCAAAGTTTTCCTCCCGGCTCGGCCACGCCCGAAGGTCCAGCCCGTTGAATTTTTAACTCCGGAACAGGTCACGATGCGATCAACTCCGTCCTTGCTTCTCAGCTTATTTTGGGCAAGCCTTATCCTATCCTGTATTTCGCATTGTGGGTCACTCGATTGTGTGACTACCACGTCAGCTGGCCTCTTTTCAATGACCGAATGGATAGACTTGTTGTATTTGGCCGTGGCCAATAAGATCAACTCTACGGTGTCGCTGATAACGTTTTCGATTTTGAGCCATCTGGCAAACTACACCAGAGTGCTGTGGAAACGCTCCACTTGTCCGTTTGAAACGCTGTGGAGGGGCGGTGCATTCGGGTTGCTAACTCCAAAGTGATTATTCAGCATGGTCAGAATGCGATGAGGGTATATTGTCGGAGTAGATGACCCTGGCTTTGGGGAAGACGTTCAGGAGTTTTAGCAGAGCCGGTTTGTGATCCTCTATTGTTCTAGAGAAAATTGCATATTTTTAAAATTTGTCAATGCATGTGAGGAAGTATTTTCTATCTGTGGAGAAAATGTCTATGTGCAGCATTTCCCCCACATGAGACGGCGTTTCGCCGAGTTCGTGTTTTTAAGGATGCCTGCTTTGCTTTAGCGCAGGTCTTACAGTTAGTGACGATTTTATTCGCTAACTTGGTCATTTTCGGAAAGTAGTATTCCGAAAGTACCTGCTTGAAATTCTCCTGTGCAGATCTGTGAGCCCTATTATGCTTAGTGGTGAGGACTTCTCGTCTCTCAGCGACTGCGAAAATATCCGTAACGCGGTTTTGGAAGTGCCAACATTTTTTGTTGGCTGGGAACTGCCGGACCAAATCATCCTGTATCATCGCTAGCGTGTGCAAATCGCAATGAATGGCGTTTACGCCTTTGGAGACTATGGTGTCCGCGAGCTCCTCAAGCAGCGACTCCTTGCATGTGAAGTCAATGTTGTGCCGTCTCTTGTTTCCAAAAAGCAAGAAGCTGCATTTAGACGAAAAGCGTGCTTCCTCCAGAGTTATCTGATTCTGAAAGCAATTTAATGGCATATCCGTGGTTTCCGACGCACACGAAAAAGCTTCCTCCTGCTTCACAACATTAACTTGC